GGGAAGGCTGTCTTTTAGTCTGAGATTTTGCCCCTTCTACATTCTTTTTTTTAATTCTATTTTTTTAAGTTTTAATTTATTCATTCATTTTAAGTAATCTCTTCCTCCAATGTGGGGCTCGAACTCACGACCCTGAGATCAAGTGTCGCATGCTCTTCCTCCCTAGCCAGCCAGGCGCCCCTCCTCTTCTACAATCTTGGTGTTAAAATGTACACTTATTTTATAGAAAAAGATCATTTTTAAAAATTTCAGATTTTATGTATATATATATATTTTTTCCAGTTTTATTGAGGTATAATTGACATACATCACTGTGTGAGTTTCAGGTTTACAGCATAAAGGTTTGACTTACGTATATTGTGAAATAATTACAACAATAAGTTCAGTTAACATCCATCATGACCTATAGATAGAATAAAAAAAAAAACCTTTTTCCTCCTTATGGGGGGAACTACAACTTTTATATATCCTACAGCAGTGGTAACAATAGTCATCATGTTGCACATTACTTCCCTAGTACTTGCGTATCTTATAACAGGAAGTTTGTACTCTTTGACCTCTTTCCTCAAATTCCCCCATCTGTTCCACCCCCCCCCGCCCCCATCTCTGGTAACCGCAAGTCTGATCTTTTTTCTGTGAGTTTGGGGTTTTTTTCTTTCTTGTGTTTTCTCTTTCCTTTTTTTTTTTTTTTAAAGATTGTACATATAAATTAGATCATATGGTATTCCCATTTCTCTTTTTGACTTATTTCACTTCACTTCATAATGCCCTCAGAGTCTATCCATGTTGTCGCAAATGGCAGGATTTCCTTGTTTTTTTTTTAATGGCTGAATAATATTCCATTATGTGTTTATGTATGTGTGTGTATATATATATATATATATACACACACACCACAACTTCTTTGTCCACTTACCAGTCAGTGGACACTTAGGTTGTTTCCATGTTTTGGCTATTGTAAATAATGGTGCTCTGAACACAGGAGTGCAGATATCTTTTCAAGTTAGTGTCTTTGTTTCCTTTGGATATGTTCCCAGAAGTGAAATTGCTAGGTAATATGGTAGTTCTATTTTTAATTTTTTGAGGATCCTCCATATTGTTTTCCATAATGGCTGTACCAATTTAGAATCCCGCCAGCAGTGTGTAAAGTTCCCTTTTCTTCACATTAATCCTCTCATAGTCCCTTCAACTAAGGTGGAGATAATTCTCTTACAGGAGGGCAGCAATAATGGGAGTAAAATAAAATCTACAATATCATGCATACTGAAACACTCATGTAGTGTATATAAATAAAGGACAATAATAAACATGTGTCCACTATCAAGCTGAAAAAATATAACCAGTACCTCTGAAGCCCCTGTCTGCTTTTATACCACTTATCCAAATATAACCATTCTCTTGAAATTTGTGTTTATCATACCTTTCATATATTCCAGTGTGTGAATATCCCACAATTTAGGTTTCCTCTTGAGTTAATTCCAATTTTTTGCTAGTATGAAAATGGTGCTGAGGACATTCCTTTATGTGTCTTCTGGTGTACAGTGCAGGAGTCTCTTCAGGGTATGAACTTAGGGTGGAATTGCTGGAATGTGGGGCATGTACATCTTTAATTTTAGTAGATAATGCCCATTGTTTTCCAAGGCGCTATAACGTTTACTGTTGCACTAGTAGTGTTTTATGTATTACCAGTGCTCATATCCTTGTTCACATTTGAAAGTCTGACAACATCTCATTTCTAGTGTGGTGAATATAAATCAGATTCTTTTTTGAATGTACAGAGAGGTCCTCCTCCAACTTTCATGTGTACACAAATCACTTGGAGATGCTATTAAAAGTGCAGGTTTTGATTCATAGATTGGAATAGGGATGGGAGCTGAGATCCCGCATTTCTAACAAGCTCCCAGGTGATGCCAGTGCTGTTGGACCATAAACTGTAGTTTGAGTAACAAGGGTCTAAGGCCCTAAAATAGAGTTGCCGCCGTGTTGGCTGTGCATAGCACCTAAAGAGTCTTTGGAACAAAACTGCTAAATAATAGTATTTGATACAGCCGCTCAATCTAGGGTTTTTGAATCATGCCATATATTTTACTGACACTAGGTGAGTAGTGTAGATAAATAATTTTTTTTTCATTTAGGAATTTTGGAAAACAAAAAGTCCCAAGACACAGTTTTAACCATTCTACTTGTACTCTACTGCTGCAGGCTTTTGTTTGTTTTTTAATTTGCAACTTCTGTTTTGTGCAAATATTGGCCATTAGCGAGTAGAGTAGCAGATTTCTTTGTTCTTAGAGATTTGTTTCTTTGTAACTGACACACAGAATTCGGATTTTAAACCAAGTCCACTCTATTAAAGTTCTAAAGACATTGTGTCTTCTCAGTTAGGTTGGTACTAGATTAATATAACGGACTAAGTAGCTGAGGAGTGACCCATAAATATCTCCATTGGCATTCTTTAACTTAAGTACCTTAAATCTAGGGGAAACTTTGCCAAATTCCGTTTAGTTATTTTTAAAATTATTACCTGTTTTTACTCATGCATGGGTAAATAATATAGAGCAACCAATTTTTGGTTGCTCTATATGTACATTACTCATTTTAAATCCATCAAAGTATTTTGATTGTAATCCATTACTAGGTGAGTTCTAGGTGGTTTCTTTAAAAGAAGAAAGTTTAAGGAGTCTTTAAGGGAGCTAGTGGAACTTGTCAGTAAGCAAGCATTAGGCTAACTGATCATCACACACTAACTGGATAAAATGAAGGATAGAATAAAAATAAACACATATTTCTCAGTGCAAAATGGTGATATGTGGTCTATGGCATGCACCTGTAACAAGGTAATAATCCCTACTAATTCCAAATTGCATTATTAAAAAACTGTAAGGACAGAAACACCACTCAGACTAGCTTATACAGTGAAGAGTTATTGGCCCATATAATTGAGAACAACAGGGCTGGAATGAGCTTTACATAAATGAAATAGAGGTTCTAATTATTATGAGACCCTCTCATCTCCTGGCTTTGATTCTCTTTCTGTGGATCCTCTTCTAATGTAGATGGGCTTCCCTTCAAAGTGGTAGTGATGTTGTTGGTGGTGATAGAGGGGACTTTTTGAGGTGGAAGATAAAGTGGCACCTGCAGGATGATGTCACATCAAAGAGAAGTGAGAAAACTCTTTCAGAGGCCTTCCACTCTAAAGTAGCCCTGTAACTTATTCATTCTTCATTAAATCATCTGTTTCCTTTATAGCCTTTATCACAAATTATCTCATTTGTTTGGTCACCTGGTTGTTTATCCTCCCCACTACAAGTTAAAATCCATTAGAGGCAGGAATGGTGCCTATTTTGTTAATTTGGTGTAACCCCAGCATCTAGTAGGCACTCGGGAAATAGTAAGAAAACAAATATATGAAAAGGGGAGAACTTAGGTCCTGCTTGAGCCACTTGTCATTATGTGGTCTGGAGGGTACGATACTGTTGATTGATAGACCTATCAGAATTGCATGGAATGGAGAAAGAACGGTTTCATCTGGAAATGGAAATTTGTATAAATTTTAAAACAGAGTGCCTTCCAGAGAAAGGCAGCCCCATGAATGGAGCCTTGGGCTGGATTTCAGCCCTACCTAATGGTCTCTGTGCACAGAGGCCCTGGTTGAGTATCCATCTTCCATCTTACCTTCTGAATTGCTTATGCTGAAGTGAGGATATTAGGAGCAAAAGTATGAGCTGAACGTGTCTTTGCATCTGGATCCTGCTTGGCCAACTCTGTGTTGGCTATGTGCTTAGCCATGTCCTATAAATATTCTAACAGAGCTGACTTGTCTTGGGAAATTCCTCTTCCCCCCCCCTTCCCTCCCCTTCATTTTTCTGTCTAGTGTTAGTTGGTCACATTTCTCCAGTTCTCTGCATTTCCATTTCCATATCAACTGGATAATTCTGCTTCAAAAGAAGAAGAAACTGCCTGTATCCATCACAGGCCCTTCAGTAGTATACAATTGTCTTAAAGCTCAATTCCTTTGAGGTTTGTTTTGTATTTTAATTGAAGATCTCCTTGAGGCAGTGAAATGCTCACTCCTTAAAAAGACACAAATGGGTTGAAGGAACAGAAACCCTCTCAATCTACTCATATAAGGCTGCTGGGAATCTCATAAGTTCCAGAAGTACAGCAGAGCCTCTCAATACCTGGAAGGTTCTCAGGCAGCAATTCTGGCCGTCTGTCTCTTTCTGGGACTACTTGGTTTCTCCTCGGCTTTACTCTGGACACTGGTTCCATTCATCTTATTTTCTTTAAACCCTGCCTTTCTCTGGTATACTGATCAACCTGCAAGTGGCAAAAAAATGGCAACTAGTACTTAATCTACTCATTGGATTCTCAGGGCAAGTCCATAAGAAGTCTGCACCATAATCCCTTGGGGAGTTTAAAAAGAAAGATGTACAGGCCTCAAACATAGATATTCCAAGTCAGTAGGTCTGGGGTCCTAGAATCTATTTTAAAATGTTTCCCAGTAGGAATTCCAAGACTCCTCCACAATCACAAGAAGGAAGGAAAGAAAGTGAGTGAATGATGAGGTAGATGAGACAGGCCCTAGCACCTGCTACATACCTCTGTTTGCCATTCCTTGCTATTGATCTTCCTATCCAAGGAGTGGAGATGGACATTCTAAGGAATTGGCAGCAAACATTGAAGGATATAATAATTTTTATTAAAAGCAGCAGTACTGACAGCAGTAATTCTTAGTCTCACTTGGGGGTGGGCAGTGCAGTTGGTGGGCAGTGCAGTGGGGTCATCTACCCATTATCAAATAAGTGCCAATTTCTTGATCTCGGATGCCCTTGGATCTACAAGGCAGGCCTGGGTGTTCCTGACCTGAGACCTTTAGACCCACTGCAGTAGATTGCTTTGAAAACCTCTGTAGCTATGGTAGCAGCTATCCAAATAGTCGGGCAGCTTCAGTGTCCATCACTGTCGAACTAGCTACAGTGTGTGTCTGTGTCTCTTAGTTCAGTCTTTAGAGAGAATTTGGTTGCTGGCCAGCCACTCAGGGGCCTACTCTGGGATTGGGGGTCAGAGTAGCCTTTGAGAAGAGCATAAGTAGTAAGTGCATTATAAGCTTTCTTTTGGTTGGCTTGCAAAGTAGAGCATTTAGTGAGTATCTGTAATCCCTTTTCATTTTGGTTATTTGGTAGATAGTAGAGATTGTTTTCCTAAGTCAATTATAATGAATTGTATGAATATGACTCCAACGTATTTTTATATGTGAAAAAATGCCCTTACCAGTATTCAGAATATTTACCAAGTATTTTTATGGCAAGCATTTTCATTGTCTCCTCATATTTCAATAAAAATAACATTTTGATAAAATATATAGTACATTAAGTTGTAAATAAAGTAACCATTTAATATTTAAAATATAATGCCATATACTTTACCTCTTATTATGTGCTGACATGTGAAGAGTTGTAACAATTTGATTCTGAGACCTCTCTATAGTAATAGAAGCCATCACTTTAAAGATTTATTTATTTGAGGTGGGGGGGGCAAAGGGAGAGAATCTTCAAGCCGACTCCCTGCTGAGTGCAGAGCCCACACCAGGGCTTGATCTCCCGGCCCATGAAATCATGACCTGAGCCTAAACCAAGAAGTCAGTCACTTAACCGACTGAGCCCCCCAGGCCCCCCAGAAGCCATCGCTTTATTTAATAAATTTGTCTACTGTACAACTTCAGGGACTTGATGGCTTTACATAGGTATCAATTAGGTAAAGTATGCAAAGATAAACACTTTTAACAAAGATTGAGCACAATAGCTCTGTACTAGATTTCTGTTTACAGAGTAGCTGTGTGGCTCAAAACAGTTATGTGTTTAAGCCCACAAAGTATAGTGTCATTACCTTCAGGTTGGTTTAAGAACATGTGTGTTTTATATGAGCATCTTAAGTATCAAGATTGTTAATCTGATTTTTAAAAATTATTCTATTTTCTTCTTTCCAGATCCAATCGCTCTGTGGAACTTTTAAACACCTATTATTAGTAGAAACATTATTTCCTACAAAATGAAGTCAACATCTTAATTTAAACCAGCATTTGTATGGTTCTGATTTTCCTACAATGGTTCACGAATCTTGAGATCTAAGGAGTACAGGGTCTTTTGCGATGACAATATGACTAATAGCAAAGGAAGATCTATCACTAATAACACAAGTAGTGGAGGAGGTTTAGTAGACTGGACTTTAAGCTTAAATACAATTCAGTCTGATAAGTTTTTAAACTTGTTGTTGAGTATGGTTCCAGTAATTTATCAGAAAAACCAGGAAGATAGGCACAAGAAAGCTAACGGTATTTGGCAAGATGGGTTATCAACAGCAGCACAGACTTTTAGCAATCGATCTGAGCAGCTCATGGAGTTTCACAATTTCTCAGAGCAGTCTTTTCATGGCAATAATGGGCACACACCAGCAAGCTGTAGCCCCAAGTATGATGACTATGCCAACTACAATTACTGTGATGGAAAGGGCACTGCAGAAGCTGCCGCCATGTTACAGAATGAAGATGCATCTAGTGATGGGGATGAAGACGCCATTGTGGAAGCAAACCAGAAATCGCCAAAGGAATCCAGTGGTGTCATGGCACTGCAAATACTGGTGCCATTTTTGCTAGCTGGTTTTGGAACAGTTTCAGCCGGCATGGTTTTGGATATAGTCCAGGTGGGTTTGTCTCTTTGTTTATCTTCACTGTCTTTGTTGTTGAAAGTGCTTTGTGTAGGTTACTAATCTCAAACATTTACTTTAGATTTAATTTATCCCTTAGTGAAATGAAGGGATGCTGACTCAAGCAGAGAATCTGCTGTTTCTAGGTGTTTTTTGTTCGTTTGTTTTCCTTTAGAGGTTCTAAGAGAATAGTCTCATTCTGTCAAGTGACTCTTCATAAAGGATTACAATGGTGAAATAACCCCAAAATGGGTACAATGCAAAACCCATTAAATGTTATATTTAAATACTTCTTCATTTTTTAAAATAAAAACATATACTTGTTAAAATGAATTCAAACAATGCAGAGTATTAAATAAGAAGATAAAAAATCTTCCCTCTTCCTCCTCTTCAAACCAAACTCTCTTCCCCTGCAGAGATTATCATCATTAAGGGTTTGTTGTGTTTACTTGCAGACATTTTTCTATGCTTACATATATACCTATGTGTAGAGTTTCTTTTTCAGAAAAAAAAGAAGTGCTATATATATTTTTCTACAACTTATTTTCATTGCTTAATAATATATCTTAGACATCTTTCCAAACTAATGACAAAGAAGTTCTGCGTTTTAAAATGAGAGCTTCATATTCCATTGTATGTACATACTAAAATTTACTTATTCACTGTCCCATGCTAATGCTATAATGAATACCCTTATAAATATATCATTATATACTTACACTAATATTTTCATAGGATAGATTTTAAAAATGGGATTGCTGGGGATTAGGGTAAGTGTATGTGTTTAAAATTTTATAGAGACCATCAGATTGACTTTCAGAAAGATTACACCAAATATTTATACTCCTACCATCAATGTGGATGTACTTTTATTTTTCCATGTCCTTATGAGGGTTGAATATTCTTGATCATTTTCACTTTTGGTAATTGATAGGGAAATATTTTCATATTTTAATTAACATTCTTTAATTATTATTAATGTTTAGCATGTTTTTATATGCCTTGGCGATTCTTAGCTCTTCTATGAATATCTCTTATATGAATTACTTTTTTGTATCTATTATCCATCTTAAAAATATATATGTGCTACTTATTGATTTGTAGGAATTCTTAATGTAGTATGGTTATGGAATTACCTATTATATAATTATCTTTCTAAAATAGTAAGTTGTTAAAATGTGGCATTCTGTTATTATGAGTTTTCATTCATCAGTCAGAGAAAGATTGGCTTTGGGAAAGTGTTAGATAGAATAATATTTATGTGCCCTTGTCTTTCATTGCTTGCTCCCTAAAAAAAATCTCAGGTCATTTGTGACACCAAAAAATTTTTTAACAGATAGCATTTTTATCTAAATGGAAAACATACATAAATAGAAACAATTTTTCCACCATCAGTTGGAGAAAGGATAGGAAAGAACTGTCTTAAGATGTATATTGGATTTTTACAGCAATCAGACAAGAAAAAAGAAATAAAGGGCATCCATATTGGTAAGGAAGAAGTAAAACATTCACTATTTGCAGGTGACATGAGACTATATATAGAAAACCCTTAGGACTCCACCAAAACTACTACTATTGATAAATGAATTCAGTAAAGTCACAGGATACAAAATTAATAAATCTATTGCATTTCTATACACTAATAATGAAATTGCAGAAAGAGAAATTAAGAAAACAACCCCATTTACAATTGTGCCAAAAATACTAGATACCTATTATTAAACAACCAAGGAGGTGAAAGACTTGTTCTCTGAAAACTATAAAACACTGTTGAAAGAAATTGAAGATGATCCTTTTAATGTATTGTTGGATCCTATTAGCTAGGATTTTGTTGAGAATTTTGGGAATCCATATTCATCAGGGATATTGGTCTGAAATTCTTCTTTTTGATGGGGTCTTTGCCTGGTTTGGGGATTAAGGTAATGCTGGCCTCATAGAATGAGTCTGGAAGCTTTCCTTCTGTTTCTGTTTTTTGAAGCAGAGAAAGTCAATTATCATATGGTTTCACTTATTTGTGGAACATAAGAAATAGCATGGAGGACATTAGGAGAAGGAAGGGAAAAATGAAGGGGAGGAAATCGGAGGGGGAGACAAACCAGGAGAGACTGTGTACTCGGAGAAACAAATTGAGGGTTTTAGAGGGGAGGTGGGTGGGGGGATGGGTATTAAGGAAGGCACGTATTGCATGGAGCACTGGGTGTTATACGCAAACAATGAATCCTGGAACACTACATCAAAAACTAATGATGTACTGTATGGGGACTAACATAACATAATAAAATTAAATTAAATAAAAAAAAATTGAGGATGACACAAACAAATGGAAAGCTATCCCATGCTCAGGGATAGGAAGAACCAATATTGTTAAAGTGTCCATACTACCCCAAAGCAATCTACAGATATAATGCAATCCCTATCAAAATACCGACAGCATTTTTCAGAGAACTAGAACAAATAGTACTAAAGTTTGTATGGAAACACAAAGACACTGAATAGCCACAGCAACCTTGAAAAAGAAGAACAAAGCTGGTAGGTGTCCCAATCCCCAGAATTTAAGATATACTACAAAGCTGTAGTAATAAAAACAGGGGGTGCCTGGCTGGCTCAATCAGTAGAGCATGTGACTCCTGATCTCAGGGTCATGAGTTCAAGTTCCACATTGGGTGTAGGGTTTACTTAAGAAAAAAAAAAAAAGAATGGTACTGGCATAAAAATAGACACATAGATCAATGGAACAGAATAGAGCCCAGAAACAAACCCATGCTTATACAGTCAATTAATCTATGACAAAGGAGGCAAGACCATACAATGGGGAAAATATGGTCTCTTCAACAAAAAGATGTGAAAACTGACCAGCTACATGCAGAAGAGTGAAACTGGACCACTTTCTCACACCATACAGAAAAATAAGCTCAAAATGGATTAACCTAAATGGGAGACCTGAAACCATAAAACTCCTAGAAGAGAGCACAAGCAGTAATTTCTCTGACATTGGCCAGAGAAACATTTTTCTAGATATGTCTCCTCAGACAAGGGAAACAAAAGCAAACTTAAACTATTGGGACTACACCAAAATAAAGAGGTTTTGCACAGTGAGGGAAACCATCAACAAAACAAAAAGCCGAATGGGAGGAAATATTTGCAAATGATATGTCCAATACGAGGTTAATATCCAAACTATATGAAGAACTTATACAACTCAACACCAAAACCCACAAATAATCTGATTAAAAATGGGCACATTTTTTTCTTTTTTTTTTTTAAGAATTTATTTATTTATTTATTTGAGAGAGAGAGAATGAGAGATAGAGAGCACGAGAGGGAAGAGGGTCAGAGGGAGAAGCAGACTCCCCGCCGAGCAGGCAGCCCGATGTGGGACTCGATCCCTGGACTCCAGGATCATGACCCGAGCCGAAGGCAGTCGCTCAACCAACTGAGCCACCCAGGCGCCCCGGGCACATTTTTTTCTGAAGAAGACATACAGCTAGCCAACAGACACATGAAAACATGTTCAACGACAGTAATCATCAAGGAAATGCAAATCAAAACCACAGTGAGATAATCACCTTAGACCTGGCAGAATGGCTAAAATCAAGTACACAAGAAATAACAAGTATTGGTGAGGATATGGGGAAAAAGGAACTCTCGTGCACTACTGGTGGGAATGCAAACTGGTGCAGCCATTGTGGAAACAGTGTGGTGATTCCTTAAAAAATTAAAAAATAGAAATACCATATGATCCAGTAATTCCATTATGATATTTACCTAAAGAAAATGAAAACACTAATTCGAAAAGCTATATGCGCCCCTATGTTTATTGTACCACTATTTACAGTAGCCGAGATGTGGAAGCAACCCAAGTGTCCATCGGTGGGTGAAAGGTTAAATAAAAAGTGGTATATATACAATGGAATCTTACTCAGCCATGAAAAAGAATGAGATCTTGCCATTTGCAACAACATGGATGGACCTAGAGGGTATAATGCTAAGTGAAATAAGTCAGAGAATGACAAATACTGTATGATTTCACTCATATGTGGAATTTCAGAAACAAAATGTACAAGAAAAGGAGACAAAAACAGACTCTTAAATATAGAGAACAAACTGATACTACCAGATGGCAGGTGGGTGGGGAGATTGGGTGAAACAGGTAAAGGGGATTAAGAGTACACTTATCTTGAGGAACCCTGAGGGATGTATAGCATTGTGGAATCATATTATTGTACACTTGAAACTAATATAACATTGTGCATTAAGTATCCATCAGTAAAAAGTGTTGGGGAAAATAGAAACGTTGCAGATGTAATTAATTTAAAGATATTGAGATGAGGAGATTTGTGGATTTTCCAGGTGGGTCTTAATAAGAGGGAGACAGGAGGTTAGAGTGAGGGAGGTGGAAAGTATATTGAATTTTTGAATGGACTGTAAAACTAACAGGACCAAATCTACCTGTCCCCTTGAAATATTTCAAGTTATTACAATAGTATCACAACAGCTAAAATGAATAAGCTATTTCTGGTTGACATTTTTTTCTTGATATACCAGTTACTCTGAAGAAACACTCAACATTTACTCTAGATGATAGTAACATCTATAAGATTAATATGTTAGAGTATAGATTATTAGAATATTTATATAGCTTATGTACCTTCCTCTGGTGTAATGTTTATTTCTTGATACTATTTGAGATAATAACACGTGTATAATTGATTTATAATATTAAACTTTAGTGTTAAAAATTATAAAAACAAATGTTTTGAAAAATTTCATTTAAATATGCTTTTAAAAACTTTTAATTGTGAAAATTAACACATATAGAGTATAAAAACCAAAAATGTACAGCTCAGTGAATTTTCATGACACAAGCAACCATATAACTATCAGGTCAAGAAGCAGAATCTTAGCAGTACTTCATTAGTCTTTTTTGTGCTCCCTTGTGATTGCTACCCTTTACTCCCCATCACCAAAGGTAATCAATAATCAGATTTTATGAACCG